GGATCGTTGAGGCTGCAGACCCTGAATTGGGACACAGCCACAGAAGGGCAAACAGGGGAACACACCACAGGGGGGACACAGCTGGACATGATCTAACTAACGAGAGCGGGGCAAACAAAACTGAACCAGACATGAAACTATCAAAGTAAAACAGGAAGTACTAAGACTCAGAATAATTCACACAACATGACGCAGGAGGAAAAGAACGCTCAGGGAAACAAGACAGACCAGGGAGATAAGGGGAGGAGACAACGAGGGGGGGACGCAGAAATAGTTCAGGGAGACGAGACGGCGAGGAACCGACAGGGCGAGAGAGGGTGAGAGGCATGATGGATAAACACGAACACACACACACACAGAGGGACACAGTGGACAGAGACACAAGGGAAACCTAATATAAAATATAAAAAAGTCAAAACAGACTAAACTAATGAAGCAGAAACATGAACCTTAATACAAAATGACACCAAAACACAAGAAAATCTAAATGCTGGATAAAAATGACTCAGAATGACAAACTGTGATACTGATGCAACTGTAAAGGTAAGTTAGTATTGTACTCCAGCACTTCATAAATGCTCTGCCATCTTTTTCCCAGCTGCTGGTATAATCAAGGATACCAGCATGTCAGCGAGTTCCTTTACCTCCAGTTCACTGTTACCGACAGTTATACCTGGTAGTTACTGGGTAACTAATTTATTTGTGTTTCTGTGGTTCAGCCTGTTTAAATTTAATGAAGCTACAAGTGCATGAAATTTTAAAAAGTGTAAATAATACTACATTTAAAACTCTAGGTCCAGTATTATCAGCTAAATTTATTTTGGATCAAAAGGACTTGAGATTGGTGCTTTGTACATTCATCTCTTTTTCCTTTCAGGGGTCGGCTGATAAATTAATCTATTTAAGATTCTCAATGCCTTTAGATTTACTGGAGGAGAAAAAATAGTATACAGTGGAAATACTCAAGTAGAAACACGTTCAAGAATCATACAGTTTGTGAGAAAATATGACAACCAACCACTGGTTCCCACTTTTCCATACAAGCATAACAAAAGCTCATGTCTGTCATCACGTTCCCTCAGGAGACACCTCGTGGCTGCAGGATGATTGTGAGGAGATCAAGGCTCCTGAATGTCCTGCCGGGTATGTTGAAATCTTAGCAGTAAAGCAACAGGAGGGTAGCAGGTTGAACTTGGTTGAGCAAGTCTGATTTCAT